TTTTTAGAGGTCTGCAGAGAAGATTCTGCTACTCCTTCCTCCTTCCCATGTCACTGTCTAACTGGAGTTTTCCCTGCTGTCTAATTTACATGCCTCTTGCTGTAAGTGAAGGCCTGTTTTCTGTAGAAGTGGAGAACTATGTTATTTCAGACTAAATGAGCTTCTCGTATCTTTTTTTAAGCACCTTTGTGTCTGATATTGGGTTAAAGACCAGGTGATTTTGCTTAGGCAGAAGCAGCAGGAATTCTGACAGCCAGTTCCCAGTGAAAGTCTTTGACCATGAAGGACCCAAATAAGGCATCATCTAAGACAAAAGAACCAGGCCCAGGGGTACTTACAACAGAGAAGTGAGTAAAATAGAGAACATACTGTTAATTCAGTGCCATGGGACATCCTGTGTGCTAATTTGGCAAAAATAAGACCAGAGCCCCACTTAATATGATACACTGAATAATATGATACACTGAAAAAAAAGTAACAATCTACACATTAAAAAAACAAAACCAACTTTTATAGTACGAACCTGAAAATGCAGATTTTTTGGGCCTTACCACAGAGTGGAAAAATGAAAACCCTGAGGCAGGGCCAAGCAGTCTGTCTGCATTTCCAACAAGCTCCCTGGCTGATAAAAAAATCATCTATAAATATTTCCTACATTTTCATCTGGTACTTGTATAACTTTAGGATGGGAAGGCATTATTCAAAGACAAAAATCATTAAAGAAAATATCAGTAGGTAAGGCTACATAAAAATGAAAACCTTTTATTTGTTAACAGAAGAGAAATCTACCATGAACCAAAAATGAAAGGCAAACAATGCACTAAAAAAAAATTGTTAAACATATGATGAAGAAAAAGTGAAAAAGGTTATTTTTCATTTACTTAGTAATAAGCCACTTTTCGCATTTCCAGTTTTCTTTCTCCATAAAAATATGGCATATATATATATACACACACACATATATATGTATACAGTCATATATATATATGCAATGAAATGTTTTTCAGCCATTAAAAGAAGAAAAGAAAGAAGGAAATCCTGCCATTTGTTACCATTTGTTGCAATATATAGACTTTGAGGGCATTATGCTAAGTGAAAGAAGTCAGACAGAGAAAAGCAAATACTGTATGATTTCACTTATATGTGGAATCTAAGAAAATAACTTACAGAAACAGAGAACAGATAGGTGGCTGTCAGAGGTGGTGGTGGGGGAGTGGGAGAAATGCTGAAGGTAGTCAAAAGATACAGACATTTAGTTATAAGATAAAATAAGTTCTGGGGATGTGATATACAGCATGGTGACTGTAGTTAACAATATGCTATTGTGTATTTGAAAGCTGCCAAGAGAGTAGATCTTACAAGTTCTCATCACAAGAAACAAACCTTTAACTATGTGAGGTGATGGATGGTGATCATTTTGCAACATATACATATCAAATCATTATGTTGTATACCTTAAACTAATATAATTGATGTATATGTCAATTATGTCTCAATAAAACTGGAAAACATTTTGAAAATAATGATTTACTCATCAAAGATATATAATCTTACCTGAATATTCCCACTCGGTAATTCTGAAGGCAAAGAAACACCTTCTTACAGGACAGAACTGCTTTCTGGTTATGTACTTACTTCAGAAACTACATTTTTTAGTACTCCTATGCTCTAAAAGCCTTTTGCACTTCAACGTCTTTGCCTCCCCATAATTTCATACCTAATCTTTATCATTTTAAATTTATTGTTCTCTGTAATGAAAGAGTACAATGCAATGATTAATTAGATAAAGAAACTTCATGTTTCTGTTTTTGAAGATAGGAATAAAGGACTTATGAGATCAGACAAGGCACATCGCACACATTCACATCTATACAACAGCTCTTGGATTTAAAAAATATATTTATTACTAATAAACCATTTTTAATCTCCCCAGTTGATAGAGTTTTTTTTAATCAACAGGTATCTCATGTTTGTTCATTAGATTGGTTTCACCTTTCAGCAGGGAAATTTGGTAATAAGTACTGTATCAAAAGCATTAGAATGTTTGATAACCTGAGATTGAGAAATTCTACTTCTAGAAATTAATTCACTTCTAGAAATAAATGAGTGTGCACATATTAGCACAAAAATATTTTACAGTATTGTTTCTAATAGGGCAGAACTATAAACAACTTAATTTTCCAACAGTACAGGTTTGGTAAAATAAATTATGTACTTTATGACATACTATAATACTACATAGAACATACTGTGTAGTCCTAGGACATATTATGTAGTACAAGGACATACTATGTAGCCATTAAAAATAATGTTGAATATCTAATGACATGGAAAAGCATTTACAGTACATTTCTTAGAGAAAAAAACAGCTTACGAAAGTTTGCAATGGTTTTATTTTGACAAAAATATGTTTATTCACAGAACAATTTTAGAAGAATAAACACTGACATTTTAAAGGGTTATATCTGGATGGTGAAATTGCAAGTAATTATTATTTCCTTTTTTTGTGTCTTACCTGTAAAGTTTTCTACAGTGCAAATGAATATTTCCCTGATAATGCAAACAATAAAATCTATGTTAAAAAAGAACAATTCATTGAGAAAATGCTTAGCATTGAACTTGCCTCTTACACAACAGTGTGATATGTATGTATATATATATATATATTATATATATATATAACTCACTTCCTTAGTGGCTCCTCAGGAGGACCCCAGGAGAGGCAGAGATGATTCCCCAAGGCCTCCTCCCATTTGGAATGTTACTCCTCTGTGAGCAGTCTCTTGGTCATGTGAAATCCAAGCGTTGGGGAAACTACAAGGTAACCCAAGGCTTAGGAGGTAGAAGAAATGAAAACTGGAAGATTTTATAGTCTGGGCAACAAACTTCAGAGAGGATCTTTTCTCCATCCACGTTTTCCTCAAACAGAAACTAAGGCTGATTCAAGGGCTTGTGCAAGGCCACACAGCCAACTTAATGACCAGGTAAGGCCTTGAATCCATGGCCTTTCTCCCCTGTTGCATTTCTGTTAATATACTGATTTGGATCAGCCCTGCTCTTTAACGCGTATTGGATCACCTCTGACCTTGTTGAAATGCAGATTTTGATTCAGCCGGTCAAGGGTGGGCGGGTGAGTCTGCATTTCTACCCAACTCAGGCGAGGCCGAGGTTGCTGGGCAGGGGATCAGAGTTGAAGTAGCTATGGTGTAGAGCAGAGTCTGGAGCCAGCCTTCTGCCTCCCAATCCTAGCTCTGCCACAGGCTACACCATGTGATTGTTGTAGTTACTGGGCTTCAGTTGCCTCATCTCCAAAAATGAGTACACCTAAACTCGTGGGATTTCCATGAGGATTTAGTAAGTTATTACACGGTAAGTGCTCAGAACAGTGTTCACTAGAACTAGCTATTAAGATTCACAGTCGCCAGAGCAAGCAGCGGGTGAAACAGGGTTTGACGAATGAATGTATTATCTTTGGAGAAAAGCTCATTCCCGGGCCGCTAGAGTTAGAGAAGCAAAATGAGAGGGCTCGCTGGTGGGGAAGAGGCCCGCCTGGAGAAACTTCTCTCCCAGGGCGACCAGAAGGGCCCGGAGAGCCCGGAAGCCGGCTGGCCCGCGCGGCGCCGACCAATGCGGCCGCCCGGGCCGGGGAGCGCCCGCCAGCCCTTTCCGTCCGGGCCCTGAGGCCCCGCCCCTCCCAGCGTAGCGACGTTCGAGCATTCCCGGTTGCTACATCGTCGCGAGGGGCGGGGCGCCTGTCAGGGAAGCGGTGCGCGCGCCGGCGCGGGCGGGCTGGGGCTCCGCCGCGCAGTGCCAGCGCCAGCACCAGACCCGCGCCCAGCGCTCTCCGGCCCGCCGCCTGCGCTCTGGCTCGTGAACCCTCACTCCCGCCCTGCCCGTGCGCTGCCCGAGTATGGAGCTGCTGTGCTGCGAGGGCACCCGGCACGCGCCCCGGGCCGGCCCGGACCCGCGACTGCTGGGGGACCAGCGTGTCCTGCAGAGCTTGCTCCGTCTGGAGGAGCGCTACGTACCGCGCGCCTCCTACTTCCAGTGTGTGCAAAGGGAGATCAAGCCGCACATGCGGAAGATGCTGGCGTACTGGATGCTGGAGGTATCGCCGGACGGGTGTCCCTTCCCCCGTTGCCCCTGTGTCCCCGGCTCCGGACATTACGGGGCCGCCCTTTCGGGACATCTGGTCCCAACAACAATCAGCAGGATGCTTAGGGGCCCCAGACCCCCGAGGCCTGGCCTTTCGCTCGGACACCCTAGCCAGCCGCCTGCCTCCGTGGCGTCTCTTTCCCTTCCCCAACCCTGACTCTGACTGCCAGTCGTTTGGCACCCTAACTAACCCTCTCTTCGGACTGGGAAAGCGGGACAAGCGCCACCCTTCTCCTCTGGCTTCTCTCCGCGTCTCCTGCTTCCCTCCCCCGCCCGATCCTCTCCGGAGAGCGCGCCTGGAAAACCCTGGGCTCGGCCGCCCCCGCCCCGCAGCCGGTTCCTGTGTCTGTCGCGGGGTTCTGGCGGGGAAAACGGTGGGGGTGGCGCGCGCGCTGTTCCGGCAGTCAGGAAAATGAAAAGTGCGGGAGGCAGCGGCTGGAGTCTCCTCCCTTCCCTTTGGGTGTGTGCAGTGGGTGGTGGTAATGGGGGTAGGGTCCCTGTTCTCTGCCTACCGTGGGTGACTCTTCCGTCCCCCCGTGGGGGGAGGGCAGTCTCAGTTCGGAATCCCCAAGGAAGGAAATCTCTGGCATACCCCTCTGCCCTTCCCCCTCACCTCCCCCCTTCCCGTCCTGGGGAGGGTGAAGGAGACAACGCAGAGGAAATGGGGGGGCGTCACCTTGGGGAAGGCGCATCCTCCTCGGTATTAGTCCTTGCCATTGTAAGTGCCCTTACCCCTGTCCCATTTTTGCTCCGCATTCCACTTCCTTTCAGCGACCCCTCCCTCCTTTAGGCTGCTACGTTTCCCGTGCCCCTGCCCCAGCCTTGACTTGTGCGCCCTCCCCCAGGTGTGTGAGGAGCAGCGCTGTGAGGAGGAAGTCTTTCCCCTGGCCATGAACTACCTGGATCGCTACCTGTCCTGCGTCCCCACCCGCAAGGCGCAGTTGCAGCTCCTGGGTGCGGTCTGCATGCTGCTGGCCTCCAAGCTGCGGGAGACTACGCCCCTGACCATCGAAAAACTGTGCATCTACACGGACCACTCTGTCTCTCCCCGCCAACTGCGGGTGCGTGCATAATTCTCCCCACCCCAAAATGTACTACTACCTCCCACTTACCAGGAAAAGGAAATCAAAGACTTTAGAGGCTTTCTACCCCTCGGAGGGTAGCAGAGGCTATTCTGGACAAAAGATGGGGCAGTGTGTTGTGATGGTCAGGGTGGCCCCAAACCTAGGCCTGAGCTGCCGGCCTTAACTAAATCCCCTTCTCCCGACCTCCAGGGGGTGCCACTCCTTCCTGGTCTTTCCCCTAGATAGCAACAAGTCAAACTGCATGTCTACCCTCACTAGTACTTTGCCTCTGGGTTTACACAGCCACCATGAGTTATTTATTGGCAGCGGGACATGCCTGCACACCCCCACTGGAGTGGGGCAGTGGAATGTGCTTCGTGTGGGGGAGGGGGGCTGCCTTGGTTGTGTCTTTATCCCAGTGTGGACTTTGATTGAAAAGCCTCCCAGAGCAGATTAAAGTCGGGCCCTGATTGCTCTAAGGAAGGGCCAAGGAGTTTCATCTCACCTTCTTTCCTTCACCTTATATCCCAGAAGAGACAGCTTCTTCCTAATTCTCCAGTCCCTGTCCTCATTCTGAGGAACTTGAGCAGCTGCTTTGGGCCTGGTGGAATCATCTCTCCCTTTCCCCCCTTAGCCAAAAGCCAGAGCTGAGGGACGGACTAGCCAAACTGCAGCTGCTTCCGATGTGATAATGATGCCCCCTCCCCTGGCCCACCCACTCTGACCAAGGTCTTTCATAACCCTGTGGGAGCTGCTGTGGTTTGGGAAGTGGCTCCCTGGGCCTCTTGCTGGGAACTTGGGCCTGGCTCTTCCCAAGGCAGGGCAGAAGAGTCACCCTTCTTCCCCACTGAGCCTGTAGAGGACATTGGGGGCTGCTTGGATCTGGAAGAGGTTAAACTTCAGGGTATGCAGATCATCTCCTGGGGGCCGGAGGGAGAAGTGGGTGAGCTGGCACCTTCCTCCACCTTGCTGTACAAGCAGCCAAGTCTTCTCCTGACCCTGAGAGGAGTCTCTGGGCCCCATCTCCCGGGGAGGAGGGCAGCGTGCAGGCTGCTGTGATTGGCTGGCCAGGAAGCCAGGGTACTGGGGCCCCCGACTGCTGCTTGTCGAGGAACAGGATTCGTCTTCCTGCCAAGTAGCTCACAGAGATGGGAGTAGGAGGCCAGAGCTGGGAATCCGGGAGGCCCCACAGCTCTTTGTGATGAATCTGGTAGTTTTTGGCAAGTCTGAAGGTGGAGCTGGTTTCCATGGCCAGTGAGCAAGATGTTTTTGGGGAGGTTTGGACTGGAAAGTATAAGGGGACTTCCGTTTTGTGAAGAGCTTGGGATGGTTTGTGTGCCGTTGTGTGAGGGGAGTTTTTCAGAAAAGGCCAAAAGTGCTCTTCCCCCACTGCTGACTGAACCGGGGGTGGAGTGCACAGATGACTTCCTAGAAGGTCAGAGTTGGAAGGAACCTCAGAGAACTCCAGTCAGTCCAAACCGTGTGCAGCAGAGATTGAGGCCCAGAGAAGGACAGAAGGGCACTGCCTCAGCTTGGCACTGAGGGGATGAGGAGGATCTGGCTCTTCTAGTGAGCTCAGATGGCCTAAAAGGTGAGGGTCTCATGTGATGGGAGCTACTAGCCACTGCCGATAACTGCTCCCAGAGCTGTATTCTCTGCCGAGCTCAGGCATTGCCCGGATCCATGGCAAGGTGGCTGCCTTCCCTCACAAAGGACCCCATGCTTCCCCACAGGGAGTCCCCCACTCCATGTTGCCTTTCAGGTGTTCCCTTGGAGCTAGGTGCTTTCTGATTACTTCTGAGCTACGAGTTTGACCACTGGGAGAAGTGCAGGGAGTAGAATGTTATCTTCTCTGCCCAACTTTTTCTGGCTCCAGGCCAGGCTGTTGTCTGTGGGGCCGTGTGAGAGGCTTGGGGCTGATTTGGGAGGATGCCACCTAGGCAGGGGCCAGGAAAGGGACAGCTGTGACTAGGGGCCTGGAAGAGGCTGGGTGGGGTTGCCATTTCTGCCTCAGTAAAGGGTCAAACCCATGAGTTCCTTCCTGAGATAAAACAATGAAGAAATCCTCATGTGTGCAACTCAGAAATGGGGCCAATGATAGGAACCCCAGACACATGGATTGGGGTGGGGCTCCCAGCCTCCATCCGGGACATAGCCTTGGGCAGGTAGAGGTTTGGTCCCTCAAGGATCATTTGTACCCATCCCGTCAGGCTTGGCTTCCACTGTCTCTTCCTGAGACTCAAATGGCCCTAGGCACTATGGGTTCTGGCTAAAGGGGATGCAGTAGGGCACCATATCTCAGGACCCACCCCTGAAGTCCCATCAAGGGGATGTGGGTTGGGTTGGGCAACCTCCTCTTTGAGGAACCTGGGTTGGTTCAGTGGCTGTGTCACAGGAGGTGTGGCCTCATGTTCATTCCGGTTTCTTCAAGAGGTGTGAACTTGGCTGAGATGCAGAATTGGAGAGGCTAGTGGTGATGTCCCTTTTCACAAACCCTTGGGATTATGGAGTCTCTCTGCTTTATCCAGAGGAGCCCCAAGTTCATGGTGATGCTGGTGGTACCTGCTGCTGCAGTCTTTTCTTTCAACCCTGGCTGGAAAAGTGCTGAGAGCCCTCCAGAGTCAGGAGAAGGCCTGGATTGTTAGCCCCTGAAAGATGACCAAACAGGATCGGAGAGACAGTTGTGTAAAGCATTTAGCTCTGGCATCTAGTAAATCATCGATTAATGGATGCTCCTAGCAAATGCTCCCAGCTCTTCCCTGCCTGAGCCCCTTCTTCCACAGAGCCAGTCCCTAAACCTAGAAGCAGTACTGGGGTCTTGACCTTCAAGTTTGATGGGGTACCTTCCCCAGGAGACTTCTGTTTTACTCCTTCCCCTTACCTCCAGCCACTGACCCCACCCTCTTCCCCCATCTCCAGGACTGGGAGGTTCTGGTCCTCGGGAAGCTCAAGTGGGATCTGGCTGCTGTGATTGCCCATGATTTCCTGGCCCTGATTCTGCACCGGCTCTCTTTGCCCCATGACCGACAGGCCCTGGTCAAAAAGCATGCCCAGACCTTTTTGGCCCTGTGTGCTACAGGTAAGAGCTTTACACATATTTTTGCTACATAAGGAAAGTCAGAAGATTTGGAAGGGTGAGAAGCAACTAGAGATTCTGATTTATACTCAGCACAAAATTTATGAAAATTATATCCCCTCTGAGCCCCATTCTCAATACAGAAAAGTAGCAGAACAGAATCATTGCTGGATGGGATCTTAAGAGACCCTCAGTATGGAGGTGGGGATACTGAGGCTGCCCAAGGTTTCACAGTGGTTAAGTTGGGAGCAGAACCCAGGTTCACCCTAGGTTTGTTTCCACATCAAGGAGAGAGAGAGGCTTCTTCTCTGCCCCCTGACCAGGATCGCTTATGGGCCACCCTGGACCTGACCTATGGGTTTGCTGTTACCTTGATCCTCTAGGAAAGAGGCCCTTGCCTGCCTTTCTCCTTTGCCACTGTCTTACCCACTCACTGCTGGGGTTTCCCAGTATGCCTCCTGCTCTGTTCATGCTGTCTGACACTTTCTGAGGAATAGGAAGTCCCTGCTGGCTGCCCTCCTTGCCTCATGGTTCCCTCTCCCTCTTTCCAAGATTACACCTTTGCCATGTACCCGCCATCCATGATTGCTACAGGCAGCATCGGGGCTGCAGTGCAAGGCCTGGGTGCATGCTCCACATCTGGGGACGAGCTCACGGAGCTGCTGGCAGGGATCACAGGCACTGAGGTGGTGAGTGCTGGGCAGCTGGGCGGCAGCCTGCTAATCCAGGAGGCAGCACTGTTCCCTGTGCCTCCAGCAGGGGGAGGTGCCCGTCCCTAACCTAGTCAACTCCTGGTGTCAGGTGCCCCACCCTTGGGGCCTCTGTGGTGTTTTCCTGCCTTGGTGTGGAGATCAAGTGTCTCAGGTGGGCTGAAGGGCACTGCCCCTGAGCACCTTTGTCTTGTCAGATGTGCAGGAGTGGGAGTGGGGCTTGGTGTCAGATGCAGGGCTGCTCTCACACCCTCTTGCCACATCCTCTTGCCAGTTTCTTAGAATTGAAGGCGGATTCCCGGGGCTGGGCTGTGGCCTAACCTCCCCAGACTTCCCCGTGTGCTGGGAGGAGTCCTTCCCCTGCACCTGCTTCCAGATGCTGTGGGGGGAGGGAAGTGGACCTTTGGTCCTAAAGGGGACGTCCTCCTATTCCACCCAGCAAGCCCCTCTCACTGTTCCCCCATGTTCCCAGGACTGCCTGCGGGCCTGTCAGGAGCAGATTGAAGCTGCGCTCAGGGAGAGCCTCAGGGAAGCCGCCCAGACCTCCCCCAGCCCAGGGCCCAAAGCCCCCAGGGGCTCCAGCAGCCAGGGGCCCAGCCAGACCAGCACTCCCACAGATGTCACAGCCATCCACCTGTAGCCCCGGAGAGGCCCCCTCGCGTGGCCACTGACAGCAGAGGAGGGGACACTGCCACCCCTTTCCCTGCCTGCAGAAATGAACCGCGCCACATCTGAAGCCAGAGGGGGCTCCTTCCTATCCACCCCTCGAAAGGCCAGAGGGGTCAGGTCCTACCTGTCCCTTCAGTGTGCACTAAGGGGCCTGGCCAGCCAGGTTTGAGTGGCTAGTCAGGCTTCTCTTTCTTCCTGCATCTGACCAGCTCGGCTCCTCCCAGTTCTAACTGGGTGTAGGCCAGGCTGGTCAGGACTGAAATTCAAGTAGGTAAAATATATGTGCCAGCATTCCTTTTTGAGGCTCCCCGCCATATCTGGGGCTCTCATGTTCTCAACTGCCAAAATGCCCCAGTGCCTTGTAAAGGTGTTGCACCTTCTAGAATTACTGCATTTGGATTGGGGTCTTTCTGAGGACAGTTCAGATGTTCTGACACGTGTGAGGGGAAATAGTCTGGACAGCACCTCTCAGCACACTTTGGAAGCCCCTGCATAATCTGTGCTCACAGTTACTCCTAGAGGGAGGGGCCCAGGCCTCTGTCAGAGGGGCGAGAACCAACCAATTCCTTGCTTTGCTTTCCGCTCAGCTTCTCCTGTGTGATTGAGGGGGGTTAGTGCTGAAGGAAGAGGTTGTTTTAATTTATTAATTGCTTTGAATACAACTGTAAGAGGGTGTGGTGGGGCCCATCTACCCCACAAGAGGTGGTAACCCTGGAGGTTGCTGCATCCCTTCCCTCTGCTACTGGTTAGAGGATCTTTGTGGCCAAGGAGCTGCTACAGCCTGGGGTGGGGCCATGCCCTCCTCTCCCTTTGGCCATCTGCCCCATCATCCAGTGGGGGATGAAGCAGGGATGACCTGGAGGTGCCCAAGCCGCCTGTCTGGAGAGGGAGGCAACAAGCCCTGTTAACACAGGCCTTTCCTAAGGCCACAAGGTCCAGGCTGGTGGCCCAGGACCATCATGCTACTTTAATAAAGATTCTGGAATAAAATTGGCTTTGGTTTCTTGGATGGGATTGTGGTATGGGTAAAAGCCCATACAAATCTGAATGCGTGAGGTAAGGAGGGTGGGAATTAGTGGTGTCAAGCAGGGGTCATCCAACTATTTCTATAAAGGGCCAGAGAGAAAACATTTTAGGTTTTGTGGACCATTTGGTCTCAGCTCCAGATATAGTCAGTTCTGCTTTATAATGGGACGTACATGTTCCAAAAATGACTGCACCATGCAAAATTGCACAATAAAAACCACAGGGCTTATGGGAAAAAAGGGGTTTGGAGGCTCAATATTCAAAAACTTAACATTTAAAAAAAGAAGAGGAAAGTGGATAGTAGAGCTTTTACATAATCGTTAAACACATCAACACTATAACAAATATGGCAATTGTCTTGAAAAAAACCTGAGGTTTGCTTGTGGAAAAAGAAGTCAGAAGGATGTGGAGGGTGAGCTGAGATATGAGATGGGGTGCTCCCCACCCACAAGGTGAGGTGAGGTACGTCTGAGGCATAAGCCTGGTTAAGGCGTAAGCATGTCTGAGGTATATGCATATTTGAGGTATACACGGTTGAAGAATATGTATTATCTGAAGAATATGTATGTATTAGCTGAGTAGTTTTCTGCTTTCTTCTAGTGCTTCTCAACAACAAAACTACATATAAACATAAAATTTGCTTTATGATCAAATTCCCAAATGTAGTCACTAGGTCAGAACAAACTCACACTTCTAAAAGCAAACAGCAAGGGTTCCAGCAGGACTGCATGCAACCCTGCTGCTGCAACAGAAAGCAGCTATAGAAAGTAAGGAGGGGGCATGGTTGTCCCCATAAAATTTTATTTACAGACAAATTTGAATTTCGTATAATTCTCATCTATCACAAAATACTAATTTTTTCCAAACCATTTAAAGTTATAAAAACTATTAATTCATGAGCCATAAGAAAATGGGCATATGACCCTAGTTTGCCAACCCCTGGTCTGAAGATTTCATTAGTCAAGGTTAGGAAGTGAACCTGTCTGGTAGTGACCCCAGATCTAATCATGCCTGGGCCTGACCTTACTCTGACCCTTCCTGCCTCTGTATCTACACTTCCCTCTAAGGGCTCTCTCCTTTAGCAATTCCATCTGAGACAAGACCATCTTTTGAATGACCTGGTTGCTGGCAGTCTCCCAAAGTCACCCATGTCAAAGGAAGGCAGAGGGGCAAACAGGGTGGGTACAACCTGGAGAAAATAACTTGTAGAATAAGGGGGACTCCTGTGGATACTGGGTATAAGAATCACTCCTAGACAGGAAAGGGGAAGAGTAACCCCCACCTCCAGCTGAAAAGAAAAAGCAGAAAGCTCTCCACTGGTCACATCAAAACACAGAATTTCAGTAAATACCTGCCTTTGTTTCAATCCAAATCCCAGTGACTTGACACAACAGACCAAGAGGAATACCTATTTCAAGCCCCAGCTGGGGAACAGGAAGGCTGGCCTGTGGGATCTGAAGTCAGTCTCGGGACTGAGTGGGAACAAAGACCTAGAATGGAAGAGGGAGCAAGCCAGACTCTCAGTCTTCCTGGTCAGGGACCAGGGTACCACAGATGCCTGTGACCTCTCATTGTCCTGACTGGGTCTTCAGCTGTAAAAGCTCAGTGTCATCTCTCGTCACCAACAGGGACCCCAGTGTCCTTCCATGCACCTCAGACCAGGACAAGAGGCTGTGTCCTCACTCCATGGTGACAGGAACATCTTCCACATCTCGGGGGACTGCACTCTGAAGCTCACGCCTGATCTCGGGGGACAGCTGTGGGTGCGGCTGCAGTCGGAGCAGCTCTAGGAGGGCCTCTTTCTGATCCATGGCTAGGTCTGCCTTGTAGCGCTGGACCAGAGTCAGGAGGCACTGGTGCCAGAGCACAGGCAGTTCTCGCTTCTCCGTGCGGAACCCCAGGAAGTGGAAGACCAAGGCGTCCAGCACCCTATAGGGCAGCGCATACTTCTTATCCAGGAGCAGTCGCAGGAAGATGCTGCTGGCACCGCTGTATTCCATCTCAGCAATTTTCAACATGGCTGCACTAGTGGAGGGGGATGGGGGAATGTTGAAGAAGATAATACTTCTCCCTTTCCTTCTTGTCTGTGCCTTGCTGTGGCCTTCCTAAGGGGGCCATCTCAGGCCTTCCCACCTACCTACCTAATTTTGTACTCTCGAGCCCAGTTACAGCTTTCAGCTGATTCATCCCAAATCCTTACGTCTGGCCCAGGCTGCTTGTCTCAGTACCTGACTGGAGTATGTCCAAACGTCTCGGGATCTCCATCCCTAACATACTCTTCCCATGTTCCTATTCAGTCATTCAACTACTAAGCACCTATCATGTGCCAGGCACTGGGATCCTGTTGTTGTGGAATGTACATTACTGGTGGGAGTAATGAAATACCCACTGGCTTAAACAAGCCACAAACTCAGGGCTATTCTTAGCTCCTTCCCCCCCTTCTCCCACCTATCTCCAAGTCCTGGGATTCCACCATCTGGATAACCACTGACCAGATGTCCTCCACCCAACCAACACTACCTGGAATGCAACACAGGGATGGAGCATTTGGTGATGATGCTCCCCACGATGATGGCTTCCCGGAGGGTACAGGTACCTGACTCGCACAGTGGAATCAGGATGCCTGGGAAGAGTCAAGAGGAGCCGTCACTTTGAGCCCAGGGTGAGAAAGGAGCTATAGCAGGAAGCACCTCCTCCCCACCCCCGCCACCACCCCGCCAGCCCCAGAGACAGCCATCCCAAATCAGGCTCACAGCTTTCACCCGTAGGAGCTCCCAACTCTTCCTTTTTAAGTGCCTCCTGGGTTCCCACCTTTAAACCAGGCTCCAGGCTTGAATAGGGCCTTCTTGAGGGCCATGTAGAGGTGGAAATTGAGGCGTTTGTATTCAGCAATGTCATCTCGCACCCGTGGGAGCAGGACAAGGTTGTAGAAGCGCTGGGCCATACGTTCCTTCAGGTTAGAGGCAAAAATCCTGGTTTTGGGGGGTAAGAAATCACAGGTCACTTGAGTTTGGGTTGGCCCTGCAAATATCACTTTGGATGGGACATGCAGGAGAAATGAGGGGTGTCTAGAAGTGAGCACCCAAGTCAGATTAGAGAGGGAAGCGAAGGGGCTATAAGATACTCCCAACAGGGTGAACACCGTCTTCAGGAGAGCCAGAGCTCTCAGCTACTCCCCTTCCTCTCGCCATCACAGTCCTCTCTACCTGCTGTCATGAGGAACCTCGCCTCCCTGGGGAGCCCCACGCTGCTGAGGCGAACACACCAGGGTTGTATATCCCAGTAGTTACAAGCCTCTCCCCTAGAATCTCATCACAGGACATTCTCAACAGGGTCTTGGCCCCCAAACATGAAAAAGGCAAAGCTGGGAGTATGACAACAGGCAGAAGCACAGGAGAGCTCTGGGGCAATGCTGGAGTGTCGTGGCAAAGGCAGGCGAGGCTCGTGCTTCCAGGCCCAGCCCTCCCGCCATCAGCTCTACCTTGTGGCTTGGTACATGGCAGCTGCAGTCCAGGCCTCTGGCTCTGTGACATAGAGGATTTGCTCCCAGTTGGAGAGTGCGGGGATGACCTTAAATGCTTTGGGCAACTTCCCACTGCGGTACTTGGATAACACCTGGGGACGAGGGAGTAAAATCTTCATGGCCATCACTGTGCATACTGCTTGCTGAGCCAGGTGCTTGTCATGTGTTAACTCAATCCTCACAACAACCCTGCAAGGAGGGGCTATTATCATCCTCATTTTCCAGATGGGGAAACTGAAACCAGAGAGTTAAGTAACCTACCCAAAGCAGCAGAGAAGGACTCTGAACCCACACACTACCTCTTAAATGGTTAAGTGACTGTGCACCACTATGCCTTATTTGTGTGAGAGGTGGGCACTCAAAGCCTTGGGGGGAGCCTATAGCCCCTGAGAGGGTACTGCTTGGTCATGTCTGTAATAGGTAAACATGGCTCCCCTCTCAGCCCTTACCTCCCGGACCCCTCTGTAGACCTCCAGGACCCTGGGGTCCAGCTGGGACACAGGGAAGCCTGACACCTCTGACATGACTGTCTCAACTTCCGTCTGCTTCTCAGTCAGCTTCTCCATGATGATGTCAGCCAGGGTGCGCCTAGGAGTAGGGGAGGTGCACAGGGAAGAGGAGGGGTGAGGGTCGGAGGGGGGGGGGCTGTGGTTACAGCCCAGGAAGCTTCAGCCTCCCCACGGTCCCTTGTGAGCACCAATAAACCTGTGATCTTGCCAGGCTGTGTGGGCTCAGTCCCCTTCAGGGGCCACCCACCCACCACAGAGTCGCTGCAGACTGCAAAGGCCCTGAAAACCATTCAGTTCAGCTGAGGACAAAGCTGGCCGTCACGTGTGGGTTAATACGAGCACTCTGAACTCAGTCTGCCTAGCTTCCACCCCTGGCTTTTCCATTCCCTGTGTGACCTTGGGCATGCTACTATGCCCTACTATGCGTCAATTTCCTCACCTGTAAAACAAGGATAGTGATTGTACCTACCTCACAAAGTTAATGCATGGATTAAACACGTCAATGTATAGATGTTACTTAGAACTATTAGTACATAGCAAGTGCTGAGGAAGTGTTGCCTATCACAAATATGACCATCATATGCTACACTGAGGGCTTTCCAATTAAAAAATTCCAGTCTGACCTCCCCAGTGCCAAACACATCTTGATACAGATCCCATCCTGATACAGATTTCAAGTAGCTGGGATCATTGGGCAGAGATGATGGCACAAACTTTCCCCCACTTTAATTTATCAAAACTTATGGAAATATTTCTAAGACTCATGATATTTTTCTCAGCCTCCTTAAACAGAGTATATCAAACAAGCTCACTGTGATGATTCAGAATTATCACTACATTGGGCTTTGGCATATTAAAGGTGCCTTCGGAAGCTGCTAAAGGATATTTAAAATGGCCTGTTTTCTGAGGGCCTTCTCAGTGCGAGGCACCGAGTGTGGGACATTCCCAACGTCATCACATCCATCCATGCAGTGCCTCTGTGAGGTGGTGGTATCTGCCGTCTTCAGATTCGGGAACTGAGAGTAAGAGAGGCTGGTAACTCACCCCAGGCCTCACAGCTCTCAATTAGGGGGAAAGAGTCAAACCCTGGTCTTTCAGGTTTTGAAGTTCAGGTACGGTACCACACAACAATGTGCCCCTGACTGCTCAATTCATCTAGGGTCAGGCCTGTTTTCTGAAGAGGCCAGCTGTCATTTCTCAAGACAGGACTCCTGTCTCTGTCAGGAGTCCCCGTAGCTTCTCCCTCAAGCTGCAAAGCCCTCTGCTGAGCCTGTCATACTCCTCTGTTCAAAAGCAGTTATAAGGCGCTGAGTGAGAACCCGAGAGGTGCTCTGGTGGGACAAGCACGCAAGTACCAGCACACCCGTGACACCTGTGTCAGCTGCTGGGCCTCAGTGCAGGATAGGTGCTCACTGCTTCACTTTGTGGTCTCACATAAGCTACTACAGGACCTACCCTTGGCCTGTATTGTCACAGTGCCATCAGCAATGAGAGATGCACTGACCCAAAACAAACTAAAGAACCGAGCACAGTATCAGGTTAATATCACCAGGTCAGAATGAACCAGTTGCAGGCCCTTATCCTAGCCTCCTGTCCCCTGGGCCAAATTCCATGGGCTCAGGAGCTTGCCTAGAGCAATGTAAATGCTTGAGTGTTTTGGAGCTAGCACTTATTACAGATGAGAAAAAAGTTACTGGTTCTAACTGGGGGCAAACTGGGGACACCTGACATTCTGTGGAGACATTTTTGGTTTTAACAACCTGGGGGAAGGTCACTGCTGTATCTAGTGGGTAGAGGTCGGAAATGCTGCTAAATGTCCTGCAATGCCCAGGACAGCCTCCACAAAAGAGAATTATCCAGCCCCAAATGCTGACAGCACTGAGGCTGAAACACCCTGGATAAAATGAGGCTTAGGGTATGAAAGAGATCTGGCCAAGGAAATGAGCTGACCACTATGAAAACAGAACATACCAAGACCAAATGCAATCGGATGATCTCCCCAGAGATATACAAAGGCCCTGTAGATGTCTCCCCAGGCAATCCAGGCAGTTCCGGAACAGGGGGACAAAGCAGGGAGAGGTTATTTTGAGTCTGGGTCACTCTCACTCAGATTGGCCCTTTGAGGACAGGCCAATTTTGTCAAGGTGGTGTCTCACAACTAGCCATGCTCACGCTCTTCCCAAAGGCAGGGCATCAAAATTCTGCCAGGGAATATGCTTCCCTGGGGACGGTTGCTACCCAGACCTGCTCTCCCAAATCCCAGGCCCTGCCACCCCTACCTGGCGGGAGGGTTACCTGGCGGGAGGGTTCTTGTTCATGAACATCTCAATGGCATGCTCGTCCTCAGGGTCTACAATCACCTCTGCATGGTGGCCCACCCCTGTCATCGTGGCAGCCTTCTCCAGGGTGGGCCACTCCTCATCCTCATCATCTGATCCATCCTGTGGCACTCTGGGACCTAGAAGAGGAGAGATGAAATGGATAAGCAAGGAAAGCAATGGGTGAGAGATTTAGAACTCAATGTGACTTTAGCCATCACGTATGATACAGGCCTCACATGTGCTTGTAGTAGGTACAGATGCGTGCAAACAGATGGTGTACATACTACCTTCATGTCCTCAAGGCTCACAATCTTGAGAAACAGAATGTGCACATATGAACCAATGAGATAATGATGCCAATAAATACAAGGTTAATACACTATAGTTATGTAGCAGGAACTGTTCTAAACACAATATCCTCATAACTCCAAGAAACAGGTATATTATTATCCCCAATTTCAGATGGGGATGCTGAAGCACAGCAAAGTAATTTGCCTAAAGCAGGTAGTCTGGGCCTAGAATATGCAGTCTTCACCTCTATTCTACATACAGGGTAAGAATTGATTACATGCCCAATGAGGGGTGGAGATGGTAATTACCAAGCACTTAGAAAATGGAGTACAGAGGATGGTTAGGCTGTCTGGGGGTTGGAGGAGCCTGTTCCAGAAATGGGTAACAATACTGGCAACAGGGCCTGGTTCTAAGAGTGTCTGTTAGGCAGGAGAAAGAAACACAGCTAGATGGGTAGTGAAGCCAGACTATGAAGGGCCTTGAAGCCAGGGAATGGAGTTCAGATTTCAATGGACCAAACTTTGAATAACTGGCTATTGGAAGGCTACAGCTGGCTAGGCATCTGAAAGGGATCTAATAATCCAAGTGGAGAGATAAAATGCTACATATGAACAGGCCGTTAAAAAAAGAGGCAGTGTGTGATAAAAGCTAAGTAAGGGGAGGGAGGGGGCCCAGACATTTGGTCTCCACATGCTAACTCCCAAATCTGTACTTGAAGGTGGATCTCCCTTCACCCCAGACCCTGACTCCAGCTGCCTCCTCTAACAGTGGCGTTTAGATGACCCACAGGCACTTCAAACTTCACCTGTCATCAACCCAACTCACTCTCTTTCCTCCTAGGTCTATCCTACTGTGTTGAACAACTAAGTAATGGCACCCATCCGCCCAATGCTAAGCCAGAACCTGGGAGGCATGCCTGCCTCATTACCTGCCATCACCCCTAACACTCAACCAATTACCAAGTCCTATTCGACTCTACTGAACAGAATCACTCTCAAATCCTTCACAGCCCTGTCCAAGCCCAGATCCTCAGTCATCTAGTGTCTGGATTAATTAGCAACCCCCTGACCAGTATTGTCTCCATATTCTTCAATAGTTTCCCATTGTCTTTAGCACAGCTTTAAATCCCAGGCACAGCCTCCAAGTCTTGTAGAATTGTCTCCTATCCACCTCACTATCATTCATTAATCCATTCATTCAGCAAACACTGAGTGCCTACTATATGTGAGTACTGAAAATGTATTAGCAAACACCAGAAACAAAACCTGCCCTTAAAAGAACTTACATTGTAACGAGGGAGTCAGACAATAAGCAAATATACATTAGGTTAAAAGAGAAATGCCAAGTAAAAAGAGAAAGGGCAGAGGAGAGAAGCTGGAAGTTGGGGGACAGGTGGGAGTGTGGCAGTTTTTAATGGAGCGGTCAGGGTAGGCCTCTCTGAGAAGGTGAAGAATCGAAGGAGTAAGCCTACAAGTGTACAAGGGCAGAGGAACAACCAGGGCAAAGGCCTGAAACTGCCACATTTAAGGAATAATGAAGCCTATGAGGGTGAAGAGGGCAAAGGGTGAAGTGGAGAAGAGGTCACACTGGCAGTGGGGCCATCATATCGGCATTACTCCTTTAGTTGCTGAGCTGAGAATGGACTGCAGGAGGTGTGGGACACTTATTGGTAAGCTACTGCAATGATCCAGGTGAAAGATCTTGGTGCTTTGAATAAGGTGGTGAGAAGTGGCCTGAATCTGGATATATTTTGAAGGGAGAGTCCAGAGGATCTCCTAACGAATCAGATGTGGAGTGAGAAAGAGAGGAGTCCAAGGTTTCTGTCTTGAGCAAATGGAAGGAAATCATGCTATTAACAGATGAAGAAGATATTGGGAGGAGAAGGTTTGGTCAAGTAGAATTTCTGTTTTGGATATGGTAAATTTGAGATGTCTATTAGACTTCAAATTGGAAATGCCAAATAGATAGCTGAAATGTAAGAATCTGGGTTTCATAGAAGAAATCAGAGCTAAAATATGACCTGGGAGCAGTCACCAAATAGACGGTATTTAAACCATGAAACTGACGACAGCACCAGAGAGGTGAAGAGCTCCCTGGGGGCACTTCATTGATAAGAAGCTGGGGACAAAAGAGGAGCCGGCAAAGGATACTGAGAAGTGAGGAAGCAGTGAAACAGGAACGTGATGTCTTAGAAGCCCAGTAATGATACTGAAGCCAGGAAGCCAGTGTTCAATTGTATCAAACTTTGCTCTCAGGACAAATGAAAGATGAGATCTGAGAAATGGATGAAGCAACTCGTAGGTCAATACTCCATTCCCACTCTAATATGAAAATCTTGACCATCTTTTACTTAATCTCTCTTTTTGGCCTCTAAACAATATTGTTCGTTCTGCTCAGAGTATTCCCCACTTATTTGTCAGGTCTCAGCACAAATGTGCAATCTGGGCAGGCTGACCCCCAAGACTAAAGCTAGTGTTATCACAAGAACTATACTTCATCATGGAATGTATTATTCTAATTGTCTATTTAGTTGTCTCTCTTCTGGGCTAGAGTGTAAGATCCTGAAGTCAGGCTCTTGCCTATTTTATTTATCTCTTTAACCAAATCACCTGAATTCCTAGCACAATAAGCATGTAGACGTCTCATAAGTATTTTTAGAAGAAATGAATAAATGCTAGGAGGACTCAGTGACGGGAGCAATCGCTTCGTGTTGGCCTAACTTCGGGGGTGTCTAGAAACGAGTGCCTACAACTAGGAATGGGCATGGAGGGCTCTGACCATCCTAAATCCAACCCAGAGCTGGGTCTCCCACTCCATTCCCTTTACAAGGGTGTAATATGGACCCCTTTTTAAAAATCCCGAGCTATTCACCTGCCGAGCACCTTTCAGCCTCCACTCCCCAACTAACCTCCCTCGCCCTCGCACCCACGCCCGCCGCTCACCTAGCCGCGTGGTTCGCCCCCGCGGCGCCGCGGGCCTGTTCCCAGTCCCGTGTTCGGCCTCGAGTTCCTCCTGCTGCTGTCGCGCTTGCTGTAAAATCCGTCGGGTCAGCCGGGGCCCCACGTACTCTTCCTCCTCTTCTCCAGTTCCGCGACCCCGCTGCTTTTCCCGGGCCCCTGCCCGCACCGCGTCCCCAGCCAGGATCTGCTCGGCCAGGGGCGCATGTTTTCCCTGACTCCCGGCTCCGCGGGCCGCCTTGAATTTGGGCATTTTTTTCGAAAACGTTGCCGGGAAAGTTCCCACGTGCGGACGGAGATGGAAAAAATAAAAAATCCCTGAGCGCGCTTGCGCAATGAACGTCCAGCCCCAAAAGGTCACACGGAGATCACAGCGCCTCCTAGGGTTCGGAGGCCAGGAACGCTGTCAGCACCGCCCCATCCCCAGAAAGGGCTCACGGGGTCTGTAACTGGAACCCCTGAGTAAACTCATTGTATTGAACGTTGGCTTTTTTAAGTGGTGGAAGTCCAAACCACGCTTTCCTAGTCATGGCTGTAGGCCCAGGGTGCCCGGCCAAACAGGGATTTCCCGAGCTGCAAGCCGGCCAACTAGGGTAGGTCGGTGGCGTCATTGGAGGCGCCACCGAAGGGGCGCCTAGACACGCCCCTGCCCCGTGTGAGCGTGCTGACTGGGCGCTCTGTCAAACGTCATTTCCGGAGCACGTCCCTCAACGAAACTTGTCTTAGAGGGCTTCACTTAGTGTGGGCGGCTAGAGAGCACTGCGTTTTGTGTGTTGCCTGCCAGGCTCCTGGCCCGTCACCATGGGAGTGACTTGGTACGACTACAAGGGATTTTGTGGGACGGGGCTTGGGGTCGTGAAGGGTTCTCGGAGCCTGGACTATAATGGGGAGGAGGCCCGGGACCAGGGTTGCCGTCCCCAAGTTGCTGAGCAAAATTGTGTGGGTGAGGGTACAGCGTTAGCGCCGCGTATCCTCTGGGTCTGTTTCATCGGAGACGCGCCCCTTCCTCCTGGAAGGCGGCAGGTTAAAGGTTTTATCCCAGGAACTCATCAGTGGTTTTGTACCTCCTTCCTTTTTTCCTTGGTACATCTGCCTAACAGTGAGGCTAAAGTACTATCCGGGATGGAACGTTAGAGTCGGAAACAGGCTGTCGGAACCAGGATCTGTCAACAGGCCGGCTTGGACGGGGTGGGGAATAGGCAACCAGGAGATAGTATCTTTTTTAGGTTTTCGCCTGCATCTCCCTACGACTACTAAATGCGGTTAGAACAGCCTTTGTCTGGTTCTAGCTTGGGTCTAGAGGAAAAAAAAAAAGCTGTTGGGAATTAGGAGGTTGGGGTTCAGGCATGTCACCTCTTCAGGACGGTTTCCAACTATGTGCAATTACATGGTTGGTCTAGTTACTATGGACTTTTTGTCTCTAACATGTTATATATGTTAGGGTGGCAGGGCAAGTTATGGGCCTAATGATCTTGGAGGCATTAGTTACAAAAAAGCTGGTTTCAAGACTTTCTTTTCTTTATCAGTAAGTGTGAGCATCTTTCTAGTCAGAGTGGGCTGGAGGCCAGGATATCTGAAGTCAGTGGCTATCAGCTTCTCTGTGGGAACTTACTGCTCCTGATAGCCTAGGTTCTAGCCTGTTTGCTGGTGACTGCACCTTTGTTTCCTATACTTGAGCCTCCTAAGTCCTCTAGTGTAGGGGAGATGTGTTAGGGATGGGAATGAAAAGTTTGCAGCACAGAGGAAGCCCCTGTTTTTTCCATAGCAAAAGCAGACAGAGGGAATGTGTTCTCTCTCTGTTGATACCCTTACCAGTATTTTCAGACTCCTAGGACTTCTGACCCCAGTAGCACCAGTTTAGGGATTCTCTTACATTTCAGAATAAGGCATATTATCATCATTGCTAATCAGTGCTTTTTCTGGAGAATAGTGACAATTTTTAGCAACTGTCAGTCTCTACTTTTATAGTTTCATTTTGCAGTTTTTCTAGTTCATTCATACACTTTTAAAATTGATTGATCATAAGGTAATGCATTTATCTCCCAAAATTCAGACTATGATTTTCATATAACTAAATACAACCTGTATTGTTATTTACTAATACTTTGTTTTAAATATATTTATTTTGGTTTAAAGTGTTTCTCACAGGCAACTACTTCCCTCGGGAAGCCGTCTGGTATAATAGATAAGAGCAGGGGACATGGAGCCAGTTTGCTTGGCTTTGGGTCCTGCCCATACCACACGAAGCTGTGTGACTTTGTGTGAATAATTAACCCCTCTGTACTTCAGTTTCCTCATTTGGAACTCGGAGATATATTGGCATATCTTATCAAGCTATTGTGGGAATTTGAAGAGTTAATTTATCTAAAGGCCTTTGGACACTGCCTGGTATGTGTTAGTTGCTTCTTGGGGATTGTTACCCAACATTCTAAAGAGGAAGCCAGTTTCGCTCACCATAGAAGGAAATCTTGGAAATAATATTTTTTGCTTTATTGTTTTGGTTAAATACTTGTACATACTGTTGCCTCTCACTCGCAAAGATTAGAAGCTTGAGGCTTGCTTTCTCTTTGATCCTGGGGCTGACAGAACTTTCTGCACTGATGGGAATGTTCTATATCAGTGCTGTCCAATACACTAGCCCTCAGCCTCATGTGGCTACTGAGCCCTTGAAATGTGGGAAGTGCAGCTAAGAAGTTTTTAATTTATTGGTTTAAATGTAAATAGTCACATGTGACTCATGGCTACTGTATCAGACAGGGCACGTTCAGGGTGTTAAGAGAGTTTGTGGAAACATGCTAACCCCAGATTGAAAGAGTCAGAACTGAAAGAATCAGAAAGGAAATCCCTTTGCTCTTATACAGCTCAATGTTAACCGAATGCCCAGTCTGCATGCCACCTAAAATTTCCTGAATACTGCCCCACATGCCACGCTGCGGAAATACTGGTGTGATAGATAGGGAGTTCTCTGCACTGGTGTGAGAGCCCTGAGACCTGCCCTCTGGTCAGTAACTATGGGCCTCTATTTCCTCTTCTCTAAAATGAGGGGGTCAGGGTAGGTGGTGTCTAACTAACATAACTCTTGGCCCTGATGAATTCTGTGGGTGAGTGAGTGGTGCAGTCAGAGCATGTGTCTCTGGATACTGATGATTTGATCCTTTCCTTTCCAGTGTGTCTCAGATGCCTGTGGCTGAGGGCAAGAGTGTTCAGCAGACCGTGGAGCTTCTCACCCGGAAATTGGAGATGCTTGGGGCTGAGAAGCAAGGAACATTTTGTGTGGACTGTGAGACATACCACACGGCTGCCTCTACGCTTGGCAGCCAAGGTCAGTGAGATAGATCTGCAGGCTGGCTGAGGTTGTCTTGTAATCAGTATTTCATAAATGGTAACTAAGAACTCAACTGAGTTATGTCATCATTGCAGTGTTACCATTTGTTTTGCCTTCAGTGGGAAGGATGTAAGAATCAAGACATAATGGTTATAAAAGCATTTGGAAAATAGAACATTGGTATGTTGAGATGAGATAGAATACTACTTTTTTTTAATATATACAATCTTATATTAGTTTCAAGTATACAACACAGTGGTTCAACAGTTACACATATTATTAAATCTTTACCCCCCTCCACTAGTGCAGTTACTATCTGTCAAAATAGGAAGATGTTACAGAATCATTGACTATATTCTCCATGCTGTACTACCATCCCATGACTGATTTATATTGTGATTAAGAATTTTTATGCCCCTTTGTCCCCCTCATCCCAGTCCCTCTCCTGTAGTCACTTCTCAGTGTCTGTAAGTCTACAGCTGTTTTTGCTTTGTTTTTATATTCCACAAATAAGTGAAATCATATGGTATTTGTCTTTCTCTGCCTGGCTTATTTCACTGAGCATAATACCCTCTAGGTCCATCCATGTTGTTGCAAATGGCAGGATTTCTTTTTTTTATGGTTGAATAATACTCCATTGCATATATGTTCCCATCTTCTTTATCAATTCACATATTAATGGACACTTAGGTTGCTTCTGTATCTTGGCTATTGTAAATAATGCAGCAGTAAATATAGGGGTGCATTTATCTTTTCAAGTCAGGGATTTTGTTTTCTTCAGGTAAATTCCTAGAAGTGGAATTATTGGGTTGGATAGTATTTCTATTTTTAGTTTTTTGAGGACCCTCCATACTGCTTTCCACAGCAGCTGCACCAATTTACATTCCCACCAACAATGTAGGAGGGTTCCCATTTCTCCACATCCTTGCCAACACTTGTTATTTCTTGTCTTTTGGATGTTGGGCATTCTAACTGGTGTGAGGTGGTATCTCATTGTGGTTTTGATTTGCATTTCCCTGATGATTAGCGACGTGGAGCATCTTTTCATGTGCTTGTTAGTCATCTGTATTTCATCTGCAGAGAAACGTCTGTTCAGGTCCTTTGCCCATTTTTTAATCAGGTTATTTGGTATTTTTGGTGCTGAGGTGTAGGAGCTCTTTATATATTTTGGTATACTACTTCTATGAAACTGCCTGGTGTGAGCTTTTGTTTTCCTGACCAAAACTTTACTTTTCAAGTTGCTACAGTCTAGCTGGGGAGACAACATATCCATGGCGGGTGGTGGAGGTAGAATGGAAAGAGCAATAAACTTGAGGTCAGAAGGCCTGGATTGGAGTCCGGTTCTGCTGCTTGTTTGTTCTGAGCCTCGGATGAATTCTCACACTGGCTACTGTTAGCGCCACCTGGAGGGCTTGTTAACAGGGATGGCTGGGCCCCCCTCCCAGTCTGTCTCAGTAGGTATGGGGTCTGTGGATAATTTGCATTTCTAACAAGTTCCCAGGTGGTGATAGTAAGGCTGTGGGTGTGGAACCCATTAGCTTCATTTTCCTCAGCTGTAAAAGGGGGCCAGTAACACTGGTTCTGCTTGCTTCAAAGTGTGTGGATGTGAAAGTACTGTTGTGATTAAAAAAATAGTATTGTCTGTAAACAACTGGAAATGCCGTCTTCATTAAAAAATAACCTTAGTTGACTTTGAAATGTGTTCAAAACAATAAGAGCACCTGCAGACTCACATAGTATGAATTAACCATGTAATTATAGTGAGTTTGCACAAGAAAAGAATGACAGATCAGCTTTGGGTGTCTTTTTTCTTTTTAAGAGTTAAAATGTTTTGAACTGGATTTAGCAGGAGGTGAAAGGTGTCAGTTGGCAGCTACCAGCCAGGAGGGATGTTGGGAAAGGTTTGGGCAGAGCCTGTTGTGTTCAGAAAGTGGCAGCAGAATGGAGGCCTGTCTTGCCAATGGGTTTCAGCCCCGGGCAAGTTTGCTATGGATTCAGTGTGACCAAAGGAATCGACAGCAAAATGTTCTTGGGGTGAAAGGGTTTATTCCCCTGCTTGTTCTCAGGCAGTAGGTCGAGCACTAGCATCTCTGCCTCCGCACAGAGCACTAGGCTGAGCTCTCTAAATAGCGCAGTAATAGCTTATTGCCTACAGGTGTGGAAGCAGCAGCCCAGCAACAGGCCAGTTACATCAGGTGGTTTAAGTTCAGTGAGGATCCTGGCCATAGGAGCCCCAACTTTCCCACAGGCCACTATAGAGGTCACAACATCCCCAGCTCTGCCCAGTCTCCCCAACCTGTCTCCTTACTCTTTTCCATTGTTATGCTCTTCTCCCTGCCCACAATGTCTTCTTTCCTTCTTTGCGTGGCTGAATCTACCCTCTCTTCATATCCTAGTTCAGGTCTTATTTTTTCCATGAAAATTTTTCCTGCTGACTCCCCCACTTTGATCTCTTAAAGTCTTTCTTCCTTCCAACAGACTTCTGGTCTATCCCAGGTAAGGACTTTTGTTTTATTGTCTTTTTGAAAGTTCACCTGTCTCTAGTGAGATGCCGGCTTCCTGAGGCCAAGGGCTAAGTCCTCTACTTGTATGCCTCTTAAACCCCCATGCAGTGCTGTGCTGGGGTTAGCTTAAGTACTTAATAAGTAATTGGGATTGTGGCACCCTATCCATTAACTCTTGTAACATATGAGAGAGGAATCTTGCTTTCCATTTTTTGCCTTCCATTTTCCACTATATCAAATATGCATACCTGTTCTTCCTTCTAACAGAAAATCTGTAGTACTCAGTAAGAAAACTCACTTCTCAGGAACTGGAAGGGTGATCTGGTGCTTGAAGCTAGATTCTCTAAGTCGAGATTCTGGGTTCTTTCTGCTCTGGTGTGCTGCTTGCTTCCCAAGAAGCTGATGTCCTAAAATTCTTTAATGACGAAGGCAGTTCATCACTGCCTTCAGGATGAAGTCCAGGCTTCCATGAGGCATGGAAGACGGGACTTAATCACAGTGGGACTCTGGTCCTCTTTCCAGCCTCATGCTCAGATACTCCCCTTTGCTGCTCCTGTAGGGCCACTTCCTCTCTATCAAACAGCAGGAGGCCAAGGAAGGTAGGGATGGACAGAAGAAGAGAGCATCTGCTTCGTTTGGCATACTCAAATGCTGTTGCTTTTATTTTCTTCAGTGTGTAGGATATGATTATTCAAAAGTTTAAATGTAAAGTCTGTGTGGGTTGTTAGTCATCATGATTAAGCTTCTCTCTGTGAGCCCATCACTCCACGTAATTAAAATTAAACCATTATCATCACTATTGAAGTTGCCCATGTGCTCGCTTGCAGTCTCACCACATGCTGTTCCTCTCTGGAAAAGGCCACTGTGAAGGGATTCGCCCAGCCCTCTCCAGACTGCTAGGGTGGATCTCCTTCTGGCCTTGTTCTGTGTGTGTGCCTCTGTTCTGGGTTTTGCTGAGGAAGGCCACGGTGCTGAGTGGACTCTCCATCCCACAGGTCAGACTGGGAAGCTGATGTACGTGATGCACAACTCAGAGTACCCCCTGAGCTGCTTCGCCCTCTTTGAGAATGGCCCTTGCCTTATTGCTGACACCAACTTTGATGTGCTCATGGTGAAGCTCAAGGGCTTTTTCCAGAGTGCCAAAGCCAGCAAGATTGAGACCCGGGGCACCCGCTACCAGTACTGTGACTTCCTAGTGAAGGTGGGCACAGTCACAATGGGGCCCAGTGCCCGAGGCATCTCTGTGGAGGTAAGAGCCTGGTGAAATAGGGGCAAGATGTACTGAAGAGGCTGCTTAGTAGAGGGCTCTGAGGATTTCCACGTCTCCCTGGAAACAGACAGTATTTGTGCGTACCTGGTCCCTGTCTCTACAGCATCTGTGCTCCCTCTCCCTGCATCTTGTACCCCTTTTTTAATCATTCATGGACTTTCTAGCCCAGGATGGGAAAGGGAAGCTCGGTTCACAACAGGTAGAAAGCTTAGGAAGGCCAGCTTGCTGGAAACTAGGAGGGAAGAGTCCAGGGAGGCAGGTGAATTATGATGTGCAGGGATCAGTCCCTATCACAGGAAGGACTGGCGCAGACCAGGCAACTTTCAGTGCAGTTAACCTTTTGGGAGGTGGGGCCTAAGTCCTATGTCAAATACCTCTCCTTAGTATGCTTTAAGTTGACATGCTGTCTGCTTGCTTTCATGGTGGAGAGGGGTGTGGCATTGATCTCCTCTGGAGGTGTTTATTGACAGTGACAAAGAGGGAGTGTGACAATAGCTGGCTTTGAGACCTGTGCAAGTCCACAATATGCTGTGTGCAATAAAAATTAGGTAAGCTACAGGGCCTGCCTTCTGAAATTTTATGATTTATTAAGAGAGCAAGGCTGAAACACACAAACCGTTTTTGAAGTTAGTCTGTAAGAAATGCCACAGATTGCTCTGGGAATTCAGGCCAGTGAGAGCCCTGCTGACTTTGGGCAGGTGTAGCATTTAAGGAGAGACTTAAAAAGTAGAGACATGGGGATAGGTAAGGCCTAGAAAGCATCACAGGTGGAGGTAAAGGGCAGTAATGGTAATGACTGCTTTGAAACTCCAGGGACCTCTAGGGTCAAGATTTCCTGACTCTTTTTGACTTGTGATACACCTTACATTTGCCGAGACCCACAGGGAATCCACCATGTGTTTATCCTCCACATTTCTAACTCTGTAGTACAAACACACCCCAGCTATTTCTTTGTTTCTCCTTATAGTTATCAATAATTTATCTCTGCTATCTCCAGTGAAAATCAGAGAGGAATGAGAATGTCTAAGATCCATGTCCTCTGGCTCCTGCCACATTGGTTGGAAAATGACCTCTTCAGGTCAGAGCCTAGGCTGGGTCTACCTTGGGAGTAATGTTTGGCCTCGAAGAGACCTAGGAGCATTATATGTCTCCTTTGTCCTCTGCTGGTCCCCCAGTGTGTGCTCATATCATACACACACACACTCTTAACTCTCACTTTCTCTTTTCATTTTCTCTCTCAAATTTCCTGAGTCTTCCTTGAATCTTCACCCAGCATAGTAGGAACTAAGGTAACAGTTCTGAGATAATTAAAAGGGGCCTAGACCTGCCTTCTGGTTTTGTGGGTAGGGCTGTGGGTTGATAACTCCCAGAGGAGAGTGCCAAAGATGGCTAAAGGGAATGGTGATGAGTGTGTTGAATCCCTGGTATTTGGGTTGAATGTTTTTCCTGTGGAGCAACACTGCTAGAAGCTGTGTGTTTCCACCCAGGAAGGTGGGAACGGGGACCAAAAGATGCAAGAGAAGATCTGTCCTTGCCCTAATTGACTCTCATTCTCAGTTCTTTGGTCCCCAGGTGGAGTATGGTCCCTGTGTGATAGCTGGCGACTGCTGGAGCCTGCTGCTCGAATTCCTCCAGAGTTTTCTAGGCAGCCACACACCAGGGGCTCCTGCAGTATTTGGGAACAGACATGATGCGGTCTACGGCCCAGCAGATACCATGGTCCAATACATGGAACTCTTCAACAAGATCCGCAAGCAGCAGCAGGTGCCGGTGGCTGGGATTCGTTAGTGGCTGGCAGCTGCCTGGTTGAGCTCTGTCACCAGGGGTCTCCACAGGAGGAGCAGGTGCTGGACCCTCAGGCCCCTGGAACTGAGGAAACCTGGGGCAGACAAGGAGACTTCTCTCTCCCCCCAGTTCCCAGCTGTGGCTTTTATTCTGGGGTTTTGGACTCCTCTCCCCTGACCCTCACACAGAGCCCCCCAACAGCTGTTTCACCGCACGCCTTACTGGACTTGGCCTGTCCTCAAGAATGGTAATTATGAAGAGTGGAGAAGTTTGGTGCTTTCCTGCTTTGGGGGAAAAGGTAGGACAGGGGTGTCCCTGCCTAGTTTTGGTGGGAAAAGCGGTCTGTATCAACTATTGAGGATTTGGCCTAGGTCCTCAGTGCACAGGTTGAGCCAGGCTATAATAAAGGCCTCTTCCTCTACTCAAAGGATGTGGTTGGGCCTCTACTGGGGAAGGGTTAGGAGGCACAACTTCTGTGATGGCTATCATTGTCTGATCTATTCGCTGAAGTGAATTGTGAGTTGACTTTTCTGAGTGTTATCTGAGTCCTTTAAAGTCTCTCTGACATCTTTCCATGCTGCTGTGAATTCCATTAAGCCACAGGCTAAGCTGCTGTAACCAAGAGAACTAATGAACAGTGGCTCTTAGTAGAAGTTTATTTTTCTCACTTCTAATAGTCCAGAGGTAATCAGAAGGTCCAGAGCAGATTTAACTCTACAAGGTCATCAGGAAGTCAGTTTCCTTCTATCTTGTTGTTCAGCCATCCCTAGGGTGTTGTTCTTGCCCACAAGGTCAAAGCAGACTCATCCACCGTGTGTCCACATTCTACTGGGGAAAGAGAGAACACAGCCGTTTCTTTTTTATGACCTGGAGCTACTCAAATCACTATTGTTGCATTTTGCTGAAGGATTGCCAGGACACAGAGCCTCTTACTTGGGTGGTAACGTGCCCAGTTAAAAACTCATGGGGTTCTGTGACTAAAAGATGAAGGAAAAATGGGTGCAGGGCTCAGTTGCCTGTGCTACACGGAGCTCAATGGATGTGCCCCAGGGTGCGCTTGCTGTTGTTTTGTGGAAAGCACCCCCTGTAACTAAGCTATTTGTTTATGAATTGGGTTGGGACAGGGCTGATGCCAGAGCCGTTTTCAGGTTAGCTGGATTAGTCACACTAGGAAGTCAGTTCCCCAGCCCTTTTCTTGTCTCAGCAGCAGGCCTGTCCAGTTCTCCGGTGCCAGCGCTAAGCCTTAGAACAGTTGATGGATGCTGGTGCTGTGCTCCATAGTTTCCCGAGCTCTTTCTCATTTGAGCCTCCAAGTTGCTCCTTTGACCTACATTGCTGGCCTGTCCCACTCTGGCTGCAGGACTGTTGAATCAGGCTAACATTGAGATCATCTCTGTGGATACATACCATTCTCAAGGACACTGTCCCTCACTGCAGGCACCTAAGGAGATCTGGGTGCTCAGATCTAAGGCCTCTGCAACAGGGATCAGGTAGTGGTTGTGTTACCCTGTTTGCTTTGGCTGGCAGGAAGTGCACTTCAACGTTAAAGGGCAGGATCTGTCATCTGCATTTTTTTGTTCTCACTTACCCCTGATTTTTTGTTTCTTTGTTTTTGCTTTTTAAAATTGAGGTATGTTTTAGATATCATTTACACACAATAAAATGTGCAGATCTTATGTTTTAGCCTTCTGATTTGTATTACTCTTGTCCAGATTCATGTGTGTATTTTTCTATAGGCTGCCTCAAATCTTTTATGAGATAAGACAGCCTTCAGAATATAATGTATTCCTGAACATATAGAAATTGAGTGTGGTAAATATGAGTCTAGATTTATGCATTATAAGGAGGGATTCTGTTCTTAAAAACTAAAAAATAGTATAAACTCCCTAACCGTATTTTGCCTTTTAGACAGAATTTTGGCTCATACATTTCCAGAGTTCTTCTCTTTTGTTCTTTTCCCTTATTTTGAGCACATGTTTGACCAACCTTAAGCCCAGTGAACACTAGATCAAGCTTTAACAACTGCCGTTTTAGGTACTTTTATCCATCTTTGTCCTCTGTATCAATTTAAAAGAAAGTTTATCACCAAGAAAGGCAGGTAACGTGGTATGTTTCTTTGTTTAACAAATAGAGCTCCACTAGCCAAGTTGCCAAACCCAAACCGGTAACTAGTGGGAAGGGTCCACGTGACACCAGTTTTGTGTGCAGATCTGAATGGGCTTTCAAGAATAGTCTTGGACTGTCAGTGTATAATTTTTGAAAGTTTATGTTGAGTGAAAGTTGAGCATTTGTATAAATTTAAGGAAAAAAGGGCATGGTTATCCTTATTTTACAAATGAAAAAAATTAAACTCAGCTAGTAAATGGAGATGCCATATTTTTGGGTTCAGATCTAATGTTCTTCCTTCTACATGAGACTGTCTTCCTACCCTTCCTTTCTTTGCTTCCAGATGCTTTAATCCTCTCCCCATCTATAGCTACCCCCAAAAGACTAGAACCTGGAAACTTTCTAGGATGCTGCTAACATGGCACCTTAGTGGGTGCCTTTGCCAGGGCCACATAGAAGTCTGCCAGCCGTGACTGTCAGAGTTGGGCAGGGAAGCTATAGGGCCAATCCCTGTAAGTTGGGGTGGTGTTAGTTTCCAGAGAGGTCATGCCAAGAGATGAGGCTGGAGTCAGGACCAGAAATCAGACTGAGAGGACTCCTAGCTACCAGCATCTGTTAAAGTGCGGCACCTGGGCTTCAGTTTAGTGCCAGGTGATTTTAGGTGGAATGTGGAAAACACTGTTATATTAGTACTTATGTCTTATTCCAATGTATTTTAGAGAAAGGTATAACTTTTTATCCGTTAGGGTGAGAGTAATTTTTTCACAAGAGTCCACTTAAAGGGAACTGTTAAGTTGTAGTACAGTGATATCTGCAAAGGGCAAAATCTGTAGAGGCGGAAGGCACATGCTGGGATTTGGGGACACACTGTTCTACTTTGTGGCTAGTCCATTTCCTGTATCTTCTGGTGGTTTCTACTCTGGCTGTGCTTTCCTCTTGTCTCTCCTGTGCTGTTTGATTCTTGGTACACCTGTCCCTAGGCTGCCTCCTGCCGGCTTTCCTCAGATTGTGAGTACCAAGTAGTCACATTCCACCATCCTCCCACCCCACATCTATTGGTGCCACTGCTCCTGTGAAGGAATACCTAGAGACTGGCCAGTCCTCCCACCCCCAGGCTGCCCCCACCTCGTGTGTCCAGTATTCATTCCTGAGGCTTCGGGATGAGGAGGGAAATACTTCGCTTCAAATCCTGGAGGGTAAGGGGAGCAGTTAGAAAGTCCCACCTAAGCATGTTCTTCAGGTGTCAAAGTTGAGACTCTTAAAATATAGGAAGGGCTATGGGCTGAACATTTTGAGGATAGACAGTCACAGTAGATCTCAAGCCAGGCAGCACTGAGGCCCCGCCGCCTGCAAGCCCATACCTGTAATGCTAACATGGCCTTTCTCTTGCCACAGTCTCCCTCTCTGTGTCTGCTGCAGTCTGGGCTCCTTGGGCGCAAGCCCCAATCATAAGTGCCAGTGGAGTGGCTGAAACCAGTTGTATTACAAGTTTGGCCCTCTCCTGGGGGTCTTTGGACTTTGAGTAGTGACTTTCTTGAGAGTGGGCTCTCCCACAGCATGAGTTTCTGCCATGGTGTAGAACAGTGCCAAATCAGTCACTTGGATTAGAAGGGACCCTTTAGGTCACTTAGTTTGACCATCAACCATCACTCAGTGCTCAGATCTGTACACCATCCCTCCCAGAGGTCTTGCAGCCTTGACTTGATTTCCTCTTAGGGATGTCCCTTCTCTGTGTATTCCATCTTTTTGCCTAGGAACTGAAGCAAAAATCAGAGCAAAAGAAAAACATTCCTGTTCTTTCCCTACCAAATTGTGTATTGTGATTAATGAGGGAATTTATCATTAATTGGTGCTGGAGTTTGAGCAGACTAGGACTCTAAAGTAGGGATTCTCAACGTTACTGCAGATTGTCAACCCCCGAGGGAAGCCTCAAGAAGCCTACGATGCCTTGAAACTGGACATGGTTTTGTGTATATGTGAAGCTTTGTGGGAATAGGATTTATAGGGTTCATTAGGGTACTTCAAAGATCCATAATCCATAAAAGAATCTCTAAAGGGAGACCAGACCTGAATGCAAACAGCAGGGTGACAAAGATGAGGCAGGCACACTGTGAGCAAGGCCTTCCCCTGTGTTTTGGACCCCTCATCTGGAAGATTTTCCTCTTTAGTTTTGTAGTCAGTCCTTCAGGCCTTTCAGTCAGTTTTTGGGAAGTTGGACTATTTTCCTGCTCTTATCTTTTCTACAGATTCCCCCTTCTTGTCTTTATATACACATACATACATACAGCCTTTTAGAAACAAATAGGAGTAAGTATGTATGAAGCAATTTTTATAGCTTTCTTTGTGGCCCTAGGAGTTCTACTCCCATTATGACACACACTCTGTGGGATCTGAAAATTATTCTGTTGTGATCTGATTTGGCATAATCATATTTTCATTTTTTAGAATAAATGTGATTGATGAGGCAGAGAAATAGTTCCTTGCTTCTGTGATGAAATCAGCAAGTTAAAAAAAATCCTTGCATCTATTAGGGCAAAGATCCCTAATTCTCTAGCATTCTCTGTCTTACTTTTCAACACATACTTGCCTCATCAGATGGCATAGACCTGTTTTTAAGGTTAATCTAAATTTACTGAATTTTCTTTGGAGGCTTAAGAAAAGAGAATTTAGGGAGCACATTTAGATATCCTAGATTGTCCCAAGGGCAGAATTCACTATTGGAAATCTTCTGTCATGTAGGAAAGTCAAGGCTAGGGAGTAGAAGCGACAGGTATTCCAAGGCAGCCTACTAAAAATAAGAGAATACTGCTTTAGGAGAGATGGCTGGGTACTAGTCATTGTTCCAAACTTGTTAAGTAACTCTGGGTTTCCTCTGTTAAGTGGGAATAATCATGTCTATTTTCCATATTTCCTAGGCTATTGACAGACTCAAGGGAGGCTAAATGTGAAGAGTGCTTTGTAGGCAAGGAGATGCCTTCTCTGCTCTTGCATCATTTATTTTTAAGGTATTATTGATATACACTCTTATGAAGGTTTCACATGAAAAACGATGTGGTTACTACATTCACCCATATTATCGAGCCCACCCCCCATACCCTACTGCAGTCACTGTCCCTCAGTGTAGTAAGATGCCACAGAGTCACTACTTATCCTCTATGTGCTACACTGTCTTCCCCATGATGCCCCCCACACCATGTGTACTAATCATAATACCCCTCAATCCCCTTCTCCCTCCCTCCCTCCCCATCCACCCTCCCACACCCCTCTCCTTTGGTAACCGCTAGTCCCTTCTTGGAGGCTGTGAGTCCACTGCTGTTTTTTGCTCTTGCATCTTTTTAATGGTGCTGAATGGTGTTTAGTTCAGATCTTTAAGAAGGGAAGTTATGGGGTCCTTACTGCTTGATGGCAGTTTAAAATTCTCCCCCAGTGCAAAGAATGTAGTTGTAAGAGAGAAGCAGCAGTGTGGAGAGAGTGTCCAGGGAAAGTATTCGTTGTCCGGGTATGTTTTCCATAAACTACATCAGTGAGCACAGTTGTATGGACCATCTCTGGGGCATGGAACTGTGATTTTTAATACTCATAGTGATGAGATTTTACTTGTTCTTCTACAACGAGAGAAAAGAGGCTGGGCTTAAAAAAAACAAATGGGGTAGAAATGACTAATTTTCTTTGTGGAATACATCTATCCTTGTTTTCCGTTGGCTCCCAAGCCCTAGTTATGTGTCTGAACTGGGTTTTTTTTTTATGCCATGTATATTGTGCTCACATTTGTAATCAGTTGTGTTTTTAAAGAAAGTTCAGTGTTCCTGTTTCTATTTACCACTCCTCATTGATGAACCACTGAAGCTCTTAGCTCTGAAGCTACAATAAAATCTTTTTGTTAGCTATTCTGCATAGCCTTTTCATGTTTGAGTTATCTAAAATAGTCTTCTTCCATCTAATACACAGTTCTCATACTTTTTGGTCTCAAGATTCCTTGATACTCTTAAAAATTACTGAATACCCCAAAGAGCTTTTGTTTATGTAGGTTCTGTCTATTGATATTTATCTTATTAAATCTTATAATGAAAAAATGAAAGTACTTATTTGCTTAAAGATAACAATAAACCCATCACATACTAACATAAATATTCTAATGAAAATAACTTAAAAAAAACCCAAACATTTAGCAAGAAAAGTGGCATTGTTTTATATTTTTGCAAATCTCTTGAATGTCTGGCATAATAGAAGACAGTGGATTTTCAGTCTGTTGAAATTTGTTGTGGTTGAAGAATACAAAGAAAATTCAATCTCACAGATATGTGTAGTTGGAAAAGGAGAAGAGTATAATAATTTCTTAAGATAATTGTGGATAGTCTTTGATACTACATTACAGCTCTGCTAAAGGTTAGTTGCAATGTGGAATCTCAGACTATCAGTGAACTATTTGTACTCACATTAACATTCATCAACCTATTTTGCATTTTGAGGGGATCTCTTATCAAGCTCGATTTTGTAGCATCATGCATTGGTCATTTGGAAGATACTACAGGTCTTTTCATGTTGACACATTTTATTATACAATATCAAAAAATCGTATTTGCTAATATTACCACCAATTTCATCAGAAAAGTTTTGGGAAGCTATTAAGCTCACAGTGGGGGATACAAGTTTTAAAAAATTCTAAGTTTTGCTTGAGAGGGTGAGCTTGATCCTTGCTAACAAATGCTGTCAGCCTGACTTTATTTTTGAGAATATATATCAGAAACCCAAGGCTGAATAACTATAGTTTATCTGTTAGCTGTTCTTTCAAGTAAAAATGGTATTCCATGCAAAAAGGTTTATAATTCAGCACAAAATTCAGAGAATTGCACGAAGTGCTTTTCCTCAAGAAAACATTGTATTTAGGTAAGGAGCTCTATGCATATATCACATAGAATAATATTATTGAAAAGATGTCTACTTATATAAGTTTTAGTGCTTCATCAAGGAATTATACTGATAGTACAATTCAGGGCCACTGTCTTAATTTGTGTTACGGTAGCAGAATTTTACCCATTGTTACCTATCAGTGCAAACGTCATCAGAGTGACAAAGTCAAATAATGTCGTATTATGAAAAATAGTTTTGATCTCTGGGGTCCCTCTGAAAGGGTCTCATGGATCTCCAAGACTTCACAAGCCACACTTTGAGAACTACTCATCTGATACATGGTGACAGCACTGAGAATCTTTTCCCCTGGATTGCTCTCTGAGAGCATCCTTTCCTGAAGAATTCTTAAGTGGCTCCAAAATCCTTCACTTTAAGCACCTGTTACGTGTCAGGTACTTTGTTAGAGAATTCACATTAAATAAGATACAATCTTTATTCTCCAAGAATTTTCTTGGGGGGTTGGGGAGTTAAGGGGAGAAAATAGATCATTTAGGAGTGACAATGTAAGAAGAATCCCTTAAAGAAAATTATGTTAAAGGTGATGGAAAACAAAGGGAGTGCTAAATTTTAGATCTCTAAATTCTTGAATCACATACTAAATTCTCACCAAATCACCATCAATTAATCACTAAGTCCTCTCTTTCCATCAAACCTCTTTAAAATGTCCAAGTTAATTCCCTTTGGATGTGTTCTTAAACTTAATTGCGCTTGTCTCCAGGCATTATAGTTACCTGCGAGCACATGCTGTTGCCACCTTCCTTGGCTTTTGTGCATCTCTATTGTATGTTTACAAGTATGCAGCCGTGAACTAAAGCAGCTAACAGCACACGTTTCTATTCCTATGCTTATATTTAAATGTAAGCCTTTACCTGCTTTAGCCATCTGTTGGGAAATGTTAAGTGTTGGTCTTATTTGGAGTAACGTCACTCCCCGCAGGTTCTGTCAGGACCATGCAACCCAAGAGACTGCTCGGGAAGGCAGCTTTTCCTGAGGAACGGTAGTCCTTTCTGAGAGGCTTGTAGGGATAGCCGTTCTTCTGTTTCCCTAGGTCTCCATCCCCACGATCTGCTGAACTTCTTTAGTTTAAGGCGGCGAACATCTTCCTTGGGGGGATTTATATAAAACAGCCGAATCCCGCCTGGGTCATCAGTGGCAAAAGTCAGACACGGACTCACCCGTCTGGGAGCCAATAGTAACTTTTGCAAACGCTGCCTCGGGAAACCCCACGGTTCGGAGGCCGCTTTTTTTAGAACGCCACAGTTAAAAATAACTGTTTCGACAGAACTTCTGTTTAAACAGAAGAAAAACAAAAACAGAAGGGGTAGTGAGAAAGGCTTTCTCCATTGGCAGGGGCGAAAGCTGTTAAAGGAGTTCCAAAAAGAGTGCGGGGAACCAATGTAAAATTCCTTTACTGATTCGCGGGCTGAAGGGCTGGGGAGATGGGTGCTGAGATGGGCTCGGTAGGGTCTCTGGCCCTTTAAGGAGGAGGGACAGCCATAAGAGTCTGTACCTTTAAGAGTCTCTTTGTCTGGAAACCTTCTTATTTACCCTCCTGTGCTTCAACCAAACTTCGACCCGCGATTCACAATGCCTCTCTACGCCGCCGCCCCTTACGCCAAGCTCAAGTGGGCCGCGCGTTTGTGGCTAACCCTAAACTTTGCGCCCGCGGCACGATCCCTGGGAGAGGTTGTCTGTGCCGGGGTCGGGGCCCAGCGCTGCGCCGTTGGCGCAATGCGGGGCCCGGGGGCGGAGCCCCGGGCGGGCAGGCCAATAGGCGGGAAGGGGGCGGAGCCTGTCCGGCTGTCTCGCGCCTTGGTGACAGCTCGCGCGTGCTTATGATGGCGGTAAATAGAGGGGGATCGGGGGCGGGGGCGGAGAAGGTGGGGAGGCAGCAAAGGGGGTATCGCCAGGGGGTGGGGGCCCGGGGGCCGGGGAGGACGCGACGGCCAGGGAACCCAGTCTGAGACTCGGAGGCGGGGACAGGAGTCACCGGCACACTGGCCCTCCCCTTTAAAGAAGCAAAATCCTCACACACCGGGTGAGGGGCGACAAAGGCGGCGCGCGCCTCGCGGGCGGGAGGAGCGGCGGCAGGGGGCGGGACCGCGGCGCCGGCGGGCTGGGGGCGCCCTGGGCGGGGGCCGGCGGGAGGCGAGAGCCGGCAGTCGGGGCGCGCCGGCGCTGTATTTTGGCGGGTGCGCGACGGCTGGATTTGGAGCCTTGAAGGAGAGGGGAAGAAAGGTGGGGAACGGGTGTAGGAAGGAGATGAGGCTTAAGGGGAGAAAGGGTTAGAAGGCAGGGAGAGGAGGAGTGAGAACAAGCCAGCCCGGGAGGTAGAAGGAGGCAAAAAACCAGGGAGGGTGTTAAAGAAGCCGGACAGAGAATGATGTTAGGAAGACCAAGACTGGCAAGAGGGATCCTGGGGGTAGGTGTGAGAGCAGGGGTCTGAAGCAGAAAGCTGCTCAGGGGATGGTAGTGCGGTGAGGGATGCTGGGGTAAGAGTTGGAAATGGCAGGCAAGGGAGGACAGAGCTGGGGTAATAGTTGGGAGTAGAAGAGAGAGTGATTAAGAGCCAGACGTGACAAGGGTGTGAACTAGTGTAGAGCGAGATGAGCTGAAGGACTAGGACCGGCTGAGGGTTGGGAGCTGAGATGTTCTGAGAAAGGTATGGGTTAGTGGGTGGGCAGTGGGTGTAAATTCTTGAAAGTGAGGGAGTGTGAATGAGACTCTTGGACTAGTACTAGGTGGAGTTAGGAACAAGTGTGGTGGAAGGGTGAAAGGAGATAGAGGTGGGAGATGGAGCTTTTGTCAGACAATTTGGGGACCAGAAAGGCTGAAAGAAGAGAGTAAGGTGTAAGAAGTGATGGCGGTCTGGGACAGGGTAAGTGGTGAATCGTATTAATTGATGAGGCTCAGCAAGATCCAAGGTGAAAGAGTGAGGGGAAGAGACAGGACTGTAGGTGGAGGGTGAGAGGAGCAAGACAGAGATGGGCCCCAGAGATGGAACCCAGGAGGGTGGGATGGGCAATAAGGGAAGAGAACAGGGTAAGGGAAGCTAGGGGAGTCTGCTGGATGCAGAACTGGGGTAGACCGCACTGGGCTGGGAATCACAAGCACATGTTGTGGGGAGATGCTCCAGAAGGTCTGCCTGAGTCAGGGCACAGACGCTGTAGCGAAGGATCAAGTGTAGGGAGCCTTTTGGAGCAGCAGAGGAGGAACCATGGTGAGTGAAAAGAGACCTAGAGATAGGGGTAAAAACTAAAAAGTAAGAGTGGGGGTGGGGGTGCGGGAGAGGAATTCTTTGTTGAGAACTGTGTGTTGAAACTATGAGCCCTTTTGTCCGTAAAAGTAGGAAATTACAGAAACCTCTTTTTCTCTTCAAGGAATCTTGAATCTGCTTCCACCTTGAATTGCTTTTAATTCAACTTCCCTTCCACTTTGAAAAGCTGAGACCCGTTTTGATTTGATTTTGTTCATGTATGAATAATAAAGCGTCAGCATGCGGAAAACCTCTGCATTTCACTAGTGTTGTACTAGATAATGGGAAAATAAGTTGTATTTATTTACACTGTGGTTGTGCCTGTGTGGTAGTGTCGTGTGGTAGCAGTGTGGTACCTGACAAGCACCCGGCAGAGTGCCTTATCCACAGCATTTTCATGCTCGTGGGAGAGCCCACTGTTGTTGAGATGGAGAAAGATGAGTCTCTTTTTGTTTTGATTCATCGACCAGATTTCTGCCTAGTTTTTGGTGGCTGGAGAATATTGAGACGTTTCAGAGAAAGGCAAGTAACCAACCGGGAAAGTTTGTTGGGGAAGAGATGTAAATCAGGGCTGTGAGGGCTTTGAGTTCCTGAACTGCCTTTAGCTTTGTGTGGGACATTTTATACTGTAGTAGGTAACTCACCCATTTAACAAAATGGAATAAAGAAAGGGAGGTTTGTAGAAGAGTGGAGGATTGTTTAGAGTTAGACTTAGCTTTTAGGCTAAGTAATGAATGTATGGGTAATTTTTATCATGAAAAAAACCTCTCTATGATAATGCAAGCTGGAGCTTTGGACAGCTCCATTGCATCTCCTGTTTTGCAGTTGTGAATAAAGACTGCAATCTTAATAATAAATTTCTAGAAGTTTTTGATTTTTAAGACACTTTTTGGAAATTAAAACAAAGATAAGAAGTTTGGGACAGAATTTAGATTTTTCTTATTGAGTATTTTGATGATTTTTATTCTGAAGCTTTTACATTTAGCTGAGAATACAGACAATTGCTTTCTTGCATTTGATGGTGCCAAAGAATAGCAAGTAATTTACTTAAGAAAAAAATGCAAACTGTTCTTTAGATTCTTTTTGAGGTTATTTCATTAGTGTATGTTAAGATACACAAAGATGCTTTTTTTTCAAAATTGTGTAAATTTTGGATTGCCACTGATTTGTGGGTGTTTGTACAAATAGCAAAGATTAGGTAGATGGCATTTGTAACAGTTAGCAAACATTAAATTTTGATTAGTGGATAACAGAAACATTGGTTATTAATATATGTGAATAATTTAGAATCTTAAATCTTTCTGGAGTCAGCTGCTTTGTTCATGGATTCTGGATTCTGTTAAGCAGGTGTTCAAGGTGACTATATTGATTTAGCAGTTTAGCAGAAGATTTTTTTAAATTACTATTTTTGTTGCTAAGTTTCAAGAGGAATAACCTGAAATGTTAACTTTCAAGCTGAATAACTTTGGTGTGAGACACCTGTTTCTGAGATGTGTGTGCATATTCCTTTCCTTTCTAGATGTGTTTGGCATTACTAGTAAGTTGTATTCTATGGTAGTGCCATTTTTATAATGTAATTGTCTCATACTTGGTATCTTTACATAAATTATTTTAGTCTTGATATTGATGAAGAAAAAATATATAGGTATAAGATCCACCAAAGAGTCTGGGTCCTGTTTTTGTTTCTGTATGCTGCCACAGTGTGCTAAATCACCAGTCCTCACTGTGAATGATTACTTCTCAGTTGATATTTCTAAAACTGAAAATGGATAATCTTTTAGTTCAAATGAGACTGTTAATAATTTCTCCAATGATAAACTTAAGCTTTATTTTCATTTGTTCATTAAATAGAATTTTACTCAATTCAGCTTTATTTTCTTTATAATCTTATTTGCTAAGCAAAAAACTTTTAAGCTTATATATTCAGATTTGGATGATGAGTTGTATATAATTAAATGTTTTTTCTGATTAATCATAGACCCTTTGGATGGGAAGAGACCTTGAAAGGACCTCTAGTTTATCCTGCAACTTCAGTCAATATCCCACTTAAATCATCCCAGGTAGATAAAAATTTTCCTGTTTTTGTAAATCTTCAGAGGTAATGCATCAACCTTTGTAGATATTCTTTTCCAGCATTTAATTATTTTCTCTGTAAGGACAGTCTGCCTTCTATCTAACTAGCACACCCTTAATGCTATAGTTGTATTTGTTTTCTTTTGCCCCTTCTCAATTTTTGAGTAAAAATATCTGCTTACTATAGTATTCAGCAGATACTAGTTCTCCATAAATTTAATGATAGTACTACCCATGGATAGTGCCTTTGTGCCAGACACTGTTGTAAACTCTTTCCAGAATATAATTTATTTGATTCTCAACAGCAGTCCTGTGAGGTCTATACTATTTACTATTCCCATTTCACATATGATGAAATAGAGGCTCCTTGAGATTGGATGTCTTGGCCAAGGTTATACTCAGACATTTCTACAACTACTGCTTTAATAGTTGATAATCTTGTAGTACAGATAATACTGTTCTTTGTGTGTGTGTGTCAAGTAGTAACTAAGTGATACATCTCATCTTTTTTTTAGTCCATAAGGTAGAATTCTACCAAGTGGTGGGGATGGGTTTGGGTCCTTGGCATTTTGCAGGCAGTCTGTACTCTACCTCTACTTGACTTGTGAAGAGATCTCTTACCATGCTCTTCTCCAGATTAAACAATTCTGGTTTATTTTATCCCTTAACTGGTCTTGTTGACCAGTCCTTAAATTATCCCTGTGGTTCTATTATTAACCTTTCCTCAGTTCCTTTCCAGATGGGGAACCTGGGACAGACAGACACCTTAAGGGCTATATCTAATGCAAAGATTACATCAGGATTCTTACATGTTCCTGTCCTTTTCGTTACAAAATTGTATTTACAAAACAAAACAACCCCAAACCCAATAAAATGTCTAACTGCATTACAGATTAAATGGTTACCTGTCTACCTTTTTAGCTAGAAAAAGGTCCTGGACTTGTTATATACCGTATTGATTTGCAGTTGAAAGATTATTGCCCATTGAAGAAAATGAATTCATATTTCAGTGCATATATCCATAAGCAAAATCTGTTTAGACTCTTGCTGGGTTTTTTACTATCTTTATGTGTGCCTGTGTAAGCAATAATACTAAGTACATTTATACATGCTTAATTTGATTTTAAATAGATTGGTCTTCTTTTTTTCTTATTAAGATTTAATTTTTTTAGAGCACCTTTAGGTTCACAGTAAAATAGAGAGGAAAATACAGATTTCCCATATTCCCCCTGTCCCTGCATATGCATAGCCCTCTGCACCCCCATTATCAGCATCATGTATCAGAGGGGTTCATGTGTTGTGTACAACTGATCCACTCATTTAAAAAACTAACTAATAATTTACTAAATACTCAGAATGAGCTAAGTAGGTGAATTCTTTGAAACTCAACAATTCTATGAGAGAGCTTATGTTGTTAATACTGTATTTTTTCATGACTTAGATTTTTTTTACAATGTTTCAGACTTAAGAAAAGTTGCAAAAATGGTACAAGGAACTTGTATATACCCTTATTCAAATTCACCAATTGTTTTCATTTTGCCCTGTTTGCTTTATCATTTTTTTCTCACTTGAGTATTTTTCAGCAAGTAAATTTGAAAAAAAAATTGATATGAAGACCTTAATTTTAAAAAGAAAAGGGAAGAATGTTTTGAATGTATCAGTAAGTTGGTATGTGTTTGATTTTAGTCAAGCATGTGAAGCAAAAGAATCTCAAGGTTGGATTTAGAGTGGATTTTGTGGGTTTATGGCTTGCTGTTTTCAGTGTATTTAATCTGAATAATGACTTTGTAGGCCCCTCCTTCATCAGCAAAAACTGTTGTGGCGTACCCCCCTGCCGAGGACCTCCCTAGCACCTGCCACGGTGTGCTCGTGCTCGCACACTCATAAGTCCTCAGCATATGCTAGCTATTGATGCTGTATGGACGATTATTATGTGAAAAAGGGAGCCATGGGACTGTTCAACACCCTGACTGAGAAATATTTAGGTGAAATATGTATTTTGAAAATCCTCATGTAGCTTCCAGGGGCTGGAAAAGATGCAAGTACAAAACGTATCACCTTAAGAACATTGGTTGCATAATGCAAATAGGTTTGCCTTATCTCAAGGGGATGGATATAAATATCTTGATGTTCTATGACCTGCCCCCAAAATAAACTTAAATTTTGGGAGTCTTTTCAATTGTCATATAAAGAGATTTAACTACAGAATGAGGCCTCTCTGATTTCAGTGAAAGGACTATAAGCTGTATTCTATATTCTGACAGATGAAAAATTCAGCACTTGTAGGTTTCTTTCCCTCCCCCACTCTAAGTGATCATCAAAGCTATGAAATATAGCTCCTTATTAAAGCCGATTGTAATAATTAAAAACATTTTGCTTTCATAAGGATGGGAAAATTACAAATTATTTGGAAAGCATTCTTTCCAGTCATGCATTATTGTTTCTGAGACATGGGCAGTTTTTAAAGACTATAATACTGTTCCTTTGCCATTTACATGTTAATAGAAGTCTGAAAAGTAAGACGCTCTTCTGAAATTTTCAGGGTTGTTTTTATTATATGTCAAGTTATAAACAGCATTCTGTGACAGGTATTTTCTCTCTTTGTCTTCTATTGAGCTAATTAGTAATTTACTCTCTAGTAGCATCTCTTCCAGCCTCACTGTGAAAATGCCTGCTACTCTATGCCTTCTGTGCAGCCTAGGCTGGCAAGTGATTGGGGGCAGATGTTGGTTACCACATCGGAAGGATCAGGGATAGAATTTTTTTGTGTGTTGTGTTTTTATAAACATATAGGCTTTTGTACGTCTTGCCCCTGCCCCACTGCTCAAGTAGGAATGTTACAGCCTCCTGTAATCCAAAGCTACTGTCCTTGATTCAATTTTGTATTGTTTTCTCTCCCCACCCCCACCCCAACACTGTGGGATTTGGGGAGGATTAACAGGGCAGTCTGGAATAGTTTCATGCCCAGGAAACTGGTCTTCGCTGCTCTCTCCCCTTGTCAGAATACAGAGCTTCTTATCACTGTCCTTAGAACCCAGCCAGTGCTTCTCTTGCTGGGGAAATTCTGTGAGGGGAGGACGGTGACCCTGTTACTAAATGAAATGTCCTCTGGGAAGTTAGGAAGATGCTTCCATGTGATGCACATATTCCTGCAAAGGAAGTGTAGGCCCTGCTTTTGCAGCAGCATTTTCAGAATGCAGCTTTGAGTGACCAGAAGTAATTTATAGCTTGGTTTTAGCACTTTGTCACATTGGTATCCTGCCCTTTTCTGCCCCTACTCTGTCTCTTTCTGCCAGTCTCTAACATGGGAAAGGTGATGTAGCATATCTGTCACATGCTCACTTGGATAGGCCATGTGGGCATATTAAAGTAGCAAGAGCTTTTGACTTTGACGTAAAGTCTTAAGGAGCAGTCTATTCTGTGAAGAATAAAAAAAATTTTAATTGAGAATTAAAGGAAGAGTGAAGAGGGGGGTTTACTGATTTTAGCAGTTTTGAGCGAAAACCTTTCTGGAATGCTAGATAATTTGTGGTATTTTATCTTTGCAGTTAGGGGCACTAATTTATCAGGATAGTAAGGTCAGAGTCCCTGTTAGTGCTAATTAGAGTCTCCCTGACAAAAATTGTTATCTGGAGGTGGCCACATAGAAAACCAGGTAAGAAAATGTGTGAATACCTCAGTTCAGCCATCATTGCTAATAGCATCGTAATCACACAAATCTTGACAGTGAATTGGCATTCATGAACAGAGGATATTTCATTTATGTAAGCATTCGCAGAGCATGTAGGGCTGTGTTAGTGTTTGTTTTCATAATCCAGAGTGTCTAGAAGATTCCTATGGATGCCGCTGTGAACATTTACTTCTCTTATTTTCCTTTTTCCACATTCTAGTATGACCATTTATATCAGTTGTCTTAGTTATATTGGATGTTCATGGCTGAACTCTAATTATACTCTTGTGTTTTAACATCTAAAGGATTAATAAGCAACATGATGTATAGAAAAGTAAAATTTCATTAAAGAAGACTTCATACAGAGCTGTGTATAAGTAAGGATGAGAAAGTGAATACATGACTAAGGAATTGAATAAGTGCCTTTAAAAGTTTTTTCTGAAATGTATGGCAGAGCTTGAAAAACCATTAACAGTGCATTTCAAGTGAAAGATAACTGTGTTTTACTAAAGAGTGAAACTCATTTGTGGTTGGTTTCATTGTCTGCTTCCCACCAAAATCCCAGATTGGTTAAACATTGTAGTCTCCCCAGTTATACTGTTAATGTGCTGCTTGAAATTTTTTTTCTATGTAGGCAGTTCAGCTTAGCCTATAACTAATAATAAATTCAAAATCTATTTAAGCTATAAATTCAGTAATCTTAATCATTTAAATAATACAAAATAAAACATATAATTATCACTTTTTACCTATCAGATAACAGATTAAACAACTTGATGATAGCTAGTAGTGGGTGAGGATGAGGAGAAATTGGAATTTTCACATACTGTTGGTGGGAATATAAGTTTCTAGTTCCTTGGAGGTAAATTTGGCAATGTCTATTAGAATTTAAAATGTGTGTATCCTATGATGCAGCAGTTCCACTTCTAGAAATCTGCCCTATAGAAATATTCATATGCTTGCATGAAAAATATGAGTACAAAGTTTTCTTTCTAGCATTGCTTGTTATAGCAAAAAAATGATTTCTGTCAGGGACTGGTTAAATAATGTATGATGGGTCTATACAGTGGAATACCATTAAGCTGTTAAGAATGCAGTGAATCTCTTTTTGCTCATACAGAAAGATGTCCATTGTTATGTTACAGAAAAAAGTCATGTTATAGAACAATGTGTACAGAATAGTTCTATTTTTGTAAACTGTACGGACTGTCATTGAGGTGTTCCTTTTTTGGACTGCGAGGGTATTCACATTTTACTCTATATACTTCTGTAGTGTTTAGTTTTAATAAGCTTGTGTTAAAGGAGTTAACTGAGAAC